TATTCCGACATTAAATTTGTCAAACTCGATTTTGGTGGAAACAGCTTCTAAAATTAAGGAGTTATCTTCTATCTGGGATGTGTTCTCACAGAATCAAGATCAGATACTCGCATCAGTCTAATTAGTTTCCTACAAGCTAGAGTCAACGTTGTGTATGGCTTGAATTTGAGTTGGAAAATTAAATTATCTTCGGTGAATCAATCGTGTATCACAAGATTTCTGACGATGAGCACGTTTTGAAGGCGATATTTCCAAGAAAAGCTGAACTAGTCACATATTTACATGTATACAGTGAGTCTCAAATTTTCTCTATGAATGAGAAATTTTTTTAGGGATTCATCAGAAAGTTTGACTTATCATTAAAGTTCTGCATCATATTGAACCTCAATAACAGAGTTCGAAAATCATATAGAGAATTAAAAATCAGAAACTGATAGAGGAGTAAATACCCTTTTTATTTTCTATTACAAAAAATCTATTGGATGAGAGGAGGAACTGAATTGAATTTTCCAATACAATCCAAGATGGAAAATGGGTCCTTCAAGAAAGGAAATATTTTTGCTTTCCACTTCTCTAATTTGATACAAAAAAATGTAAATTCTTTCAAAGAACGAAAGATTACTTTGGAAGTTCATCACAGTTTTTAATATAGAGATGGAAAAGTAGAAACGCGATTCAAGACCAGGAGTTCGTCGACTTCATCGAATCCCAACCCTACTCTTCATCATTATTTGCACAGCTTGAATCATTGGATTGTTTGAAAAACTCCCACACAGAAATATTCCACCCATCGTAGTTTCCATACAAACAAATGAATTAAATCGGTAGTCGATCAGTGTGATACAAATACCGGGTGTCAGTCGATAATATTTATTGATAACAGAGAGTTTGGCGTACAATGAAACTAATAGGATAATAATTGCAGCTGAAATTATACCCCATTAATCCTGACGAGGATCTACTCGGATATTGGAAATAATATACAATAACAACGACGAAATAACGTGTTCTCTGCTACATTGCAGATGAAGGGGTGAAACCACTGCGATAATATACGGTGTGGGTTGGAAAATACCTTGAAATAAGCCTCTTATAAATAAGTGAATAAGTTGAATAAAAAAAGAAATGAATTGAAAGAGAGGGATGAATCAAAAGTAACACCTAGATCAGTGAGTATGTCAGGACGCTCCAGAACTTGATTGTTTATGACGTAGTTGTGTGAATTCAAGTTCGTTTGGATATGTTGAAAGATAGATTTTTCTTTCGACACCATGTAGCAATGCGATTCTAATTCAGGGCGAGACGTTCGCAATACTAAGAACATGTTATATTGTGATAGAGTTTCAAGTCATCTGCGTATAAAAGGAAATTGATATCAATCTCAGCTCCGATATCATTAATGAACATATTGAACAGTAGGGGTCCTAGATTTGATCCTTGTGGTACACCGGATGTGGCTATATATTCGATAAACTTGAGGCCATCGAGTTGGACGTACTGCTTACGGTTGTAAAAATACGATTTGAAGAGGGTAATTAATTCATTGAATAACACGAATTCGAAAGCTTATTGAGCAGGATACTATGGTGAAGTCTGTCGAACGCTTTAGAAAAATCAGTGTACTCAGTCTGAGACTGACAATCAATACCCTCTGCACTATATTGAGTGATTATTACAAGATTGGTGTTGGTTGAACGTTCTTTAATGAAACCGTGTTGATTGGGGCTAATAGTGTTTCTGACATGACAATAGATTGTCTTCTCAAGAAGCACCCCAAACACTTTACATATCAGACTTAGTCACCTAAAAATAAAAATTGAAATTTTCTTTGAAATTTCCGATTACACGTCCTTTTCTGACTTAAAGGGGGGTCAAGTTTTCGTTGGAGCGCCCTGTATATGGACATTGAATTATATAGAGAACACACTTTCCTATTCAGTTTGTGCTCCAACTTTTCATTATGGACCTGAATCAGATATAAATCACAGTATTTATATACAATACGAGTGAAGTGTATGAAAGGGGTAAAATTTCACTTACATGGAACACTGTCATCCTCAATGGTGGACATCTGAAGTTTCGGAATGAAGCACTTGCCTTATTGCCTCTGCAGCACCAATTTGAAGAAAATTATAAGATATAGCACTCAATTCGTTTAGAAATTGCGACTCAATGTTACGAGTGAGTTTGATCTACTCATGACATCCATGACAGCACGTAATGACATTTATTCGCTTATTTGATTCAATCCCAGCCATATAAATCTTGTTTTAATTGAATCATACTGTTGATCATAAAACTTACTGCACTAGAAATTTTTTTAATCTCTTGAATTGATCAGTGGGAAAAATTGAACGACCTCATATTAAAATTATGAAGTATTCAAAAAACTATGACCCCAAAATTCCATTTGATGAGAGTGAAACTTCAAAAAGGATGGAAGTTCGTTATGCAACCTCTATTCAGTGTTTAGGAGTTATCAGCGAAATTGAGTTTTATACAATAGGTTTAGCGACGAAATTCTGCTGACTCTGAATTTCTCAAATGTGGAAGAATTGAAGTTATTGACTGAACGATTTTCTCAAACTCACTTATTCATGCTCCAGGAACTCTCTCGGAAATATAAAGAAAATGGACCGTCCAACCATATGTCCAGTCTTGTCAGCATATTTAAGTTGATTTATATCATTGTTTTGTTCGACCTCTTGGAAAAATGGAGTTATATTAACTCTGAACAGTATAATAGAATCAAATGAAACATTTTCCCATATATCATAAGAGACGTTCACTATAGAAGTTTCACTTATCGTTCATTATGAATTGTATTTCCACTATCATTCAAAAATAGACCTGTTTTATTTATGTGAGAAAGCATTTCGTCCAAGTTAACAAGTATGCATGTTCCTATGCAAAAAATACATTTCCCCATTTTTATCAAAATACTATTTGCACTGAAATGCAAAAAAATGCAGAAAATAAAACAAAATCGACGTGGGAAATCATCAACGCATTACAAAGAAAGAAAAACAATCAAAATGATTTGTCATCGGCAGAGCGATTGTTATTCGATGAAATGGTATTAGCCAACGAATTCAATTTTAACTTTACCAAAGCACCTGTGACTAACTTGGGGTATGACATGGATTTCATAAATAAGAATGTAAAAATTCAACATTCCTTGACATGGATGGATTTAGTAATACTTTTCTGGAATAAATTGGTCTCAGTATATGCAAGCCGTTAACAGTATTACTTAAGTTATCAGCACAAAAAGGGGTTTTTACAGAAAAACTAAAATACTCCGAAATACATAAAAAGAGACCAGAGTGATCTGAATAACTATAGATCAATAAGCATTGTTTCTAGTATTTCAAAACTATTTGAGTTGAACATGAAAAACCAGCTGTGTGCTTTCTTCGACAAATATAATCTGCTTTCGTCATCGCACCATGGTTTCATTAAAAAGAAAAGCACTGAATCTGCTCTCTGTTAATTCCGGAGCCATGTAATGAAACATCTGGGCAACAACAAATTTGTATTGGGTATATTTCTGGACTTCTCACACGCTTTCGACTGCGTCGATCATAAACTACTGATTTCTAAGTTATCGAAATATGGTGTCAGGGGAGTACCCCTGCACCTTCTAGAGTCTTTTCTGAGCAATCGAAAGCAAGTTGTGAAACTTAATCAGTCCTACTGAGATACCTTACACATACCTCGAGGAATTCCGCAAGGCTCGATCCTGGGAACATTACTCTGTGTAGTTTATGCAAATGACATTATACGATATCTCAACATGACTAACAATAAGTAGTGTGAGGGGAACTAAAACTCCTCAAAAGCCTTTGCAGAACATGCCACCGTGGACCAGCCTACCCAAACTGAGATGTACGGAATCGTGCGGACAGCTGAATGGCCGCAAGGTGATATGCGGTTACGAAAGATATCCTTGGGGAACTGGGCAAAAGTGAGGTTTTGCCCAGTTGTGATCAGCTTACCTCTGGTAATGCGGGGTTCTGTCAGAGGTAACCAACTCTTGCCCCGCTATACAGTTGAATGAAACAACCACAAAAACAGAAACAACAAAAACAAAAACTAATCCCGAGGCTGGACAGAAGTGCTCACCTCAATCTAAGACGGTGGCTGGGAATGAACAGAAATATCCACCCCAATCTACCGCTTGGAATGAGGCTGAACATAGCAGATCACCTCGTGATGTAATACAAAGGCCAAGGCGTAAGCGCATTTGATACGCCAAGGCCAAAAGGAGAAACAGATCGAAGGAGGCAGCTATAAGTGAACCCTCCTCCTCTCCCATTCGACCTTCAACAGCAATGGCACTTCCTGTGACGGGAGCCAAGAGCTCCACCTTGAATGAAGGCGAGAAACTGGCTGCCCCTGCAGGAAAGCTCCCACACTTGTGCACCTCCACGGAGAGAGCCTCAAGAAAGTTGAAGAAGCCTCGCAACGGCAGTAATGTTGCTGCACCTTCCAAAACCTTCGCGGAGGCCACCATGAGACATCTCAAAGAGTGAGTGTTCGGCGAGTCTTGGCCTACACCTGCCAGTATAAAGGAGATATCTCCTAGTGACCTGTTCACCTTCCTGGAAAGGACAGTATGGACAATGACCTAGGAGGACAACTCCTTGGAAGGATGTACAATGGGCCACATGTGTCCTAAGTGCTGTGGGTCTACACCCACCCTCACTATTCTACAAATACCGATAATAGTTCTCCAAAGTTTTGTACCTGTCGGACATATTCAGACAGCGCACAAATGGTCACTTCACAGACGTTGTGAACCTGAAAATCATCTGTAGTATTGGCACGTCCCTCGCAACAGTTTCAAATCATCCATTCTGTTGAATATTACTGGAGTCTTATCCTAACACCAAATCATTATTTTCAACACATTGACACGTGTTTCAATCACCAAGTGATATTCATTACTACACCGAAGGTTGCAAACAGTGCATAACAAATTCATTCTGTTGTCAAAATAAGGAATGAAACAGATCATTTACTTTTTTAAAAATACAAAACTATTTATGAAAGGTCCATGATGGCTCACATGTCTGATAAGAACTGTTTTCATACAGAGTACTTGTTGCTGAATTCAATTTCATTGAATCAGTTACATTCAAACCCATTGCTTCCATTTTATGTAACAGTGGTCCCAATGGCGTAGTAATATCTTCCAGTGAATTGTAGTGAATACATTTCAAATTCGGAAAAACTATAGCCATCTGGATCAAATCCGTTTCTTCCATTGCTGACAAAGCAGTGGTAGGTAGCTCAATACTCCTCAAATTCCTAACTGGATGAAATAGTCTCATACCGAGCTTGAATAATATCGTGTGCGCCAAGGAAATACTTTCAATCCTTTTCAAGTGATGGAGCTTCGGATTGAAGCTCTTCAAAGGGTTGTAATCCAGATTTATTAGCCTCAAGTTCTCCATGCTTTTGAACGCATTGTCTTGGATTACGGATAAATTGTTCCTGTTGAGAATCAATTCCCTCAACTCCTTCTGCAGTCCTGTCAGAAAACCATCCTGGAGTGTGGTGAGAGTTTGATTGTAGATAATCAAGACCCTCAACAACCATAAACGTTTGAAACCACCGACGTGAACCGTATGATTGGGATTGGAGTGTAGACCCAAAGTTGTGAAATATCTGTTCTCTGTGAAGGTGTCAGAAGTGATATCAGGAAATTTGGACTCTGCAATGTGTAGTGCTGTTCCTATCTTCAGAATGGAGGTGAAGTTTTTTATGTCGCTTTTATAAATGAACACTGTTCTGACATTTGGAAATAGGTCCAAAGAATGTTTGTGCAGAACTCCTTCCACTGCGATGAGTTGAAGCGATCTCCTATCGAGTCTTTCCTTGTTATATTGATTAGGAAGCCCCAACCGATCATTTTCTGGTAGTGAGCCTTCACAGATCACGTCGTGCCCAGGAATCGAGAAAATGGGATTTTTGGAAGTTTTATCTTCTGAGCATATCTGTCCAGGGTTAACTGCTGCACCGGAGAAGTAGGTGAGATTTAGTAATAACAGAAATGCCAACCTGAAAAAGAAGAACATGCCTATAGCGCCTGTCAAAGTGTGTGGATATGGGGTAGAAAGAGTAGTATGCCATCTATTAGCAGCATGATGAAATGCTAACAGGTAGAGTTGGACTGGAGCAACTTTTACGAAGCGAGTTCTGATAACCAAGCTACAATCATCTGAAAATGACCAAAACTTACTTCTCGTCCTCAGCACTAGCTATTATATCAATATGTTATTCTATCTCCTCTAATTATGATGTGGATAACGACCCATTTTACCCTACCAGTTCCCTATGCAAAAAATACATTT